TGTCAAGTTCAACCCCCACATCCTTGGTATCAAGGATATGGCCGGTGTGCTGAAGCCCCAGGCCGCACGCCTGCTGGTTGGCTCCATCCGTGAGCGCTACCCCGACCTCCCCATCCACGTCCACACCCACGACTCTGCCGGTACCGGTGTGGCCTCCATGGTTGCCTGCGCTCAGGCCGGTGCTGACGCCGTCGACGCCGCCACCGACAGCATGTCCGGTATGACATCTCAGCCCAGCGTTGGTGCTATCCTTGCGTCTCTCGAGGGCACCGAGCACGACCCAAAGCTCAATCGGGCGCACGTTCGTGCCATCGACTCCTATTGGCAACAGCTGCGCTTGTTGTACTCGCCGTTCGAGGCTGGTCTGACCGGCCCCGACCCTGAGGTCTACGAGCACGAAATTCCCGGTGGCCAGCTGACCAACCTCCTCTTCCAGGCCAGTCAGCTCGGCTTGGGTCAGCAGTGGGCTGAGACCAAGAAGGCCTATGAGTCGGCCAACGATCTGCTAGGCGACATTGTCAAGGTCACGCCCACCTCCAAGGTTGTCGGTGACCTGGCTCAGTTCATGGTCTCCAACAAGCTGACTCCCGAGGACGTTGTCGCCCGTGCTGGCGAGCTGGACTTCCCTGGCTCTGTCCTTGAATTCCTCGAGGGTCTTATGGGCCAGCCCTTCGGCGGCTTCCCTGAGCCTCTGCGATCCAAGGCTCTGCGTGAGCGCCGCAAGCTCGACAAGCGCCCCGGTCTCTACCTGGAGCCTCTGGACCTGGCCAAGATCAAGAACCAGATCCGGGAGAAGTATGGCTCCGCCACCGAGTACGACGTGGCCAGTTACGCCATGTACCCCAAGGTCTTTGAGGACTACAAGAAGTTCGTGCAGAAGTATGGTGATCTGTCCATCCTGCCTACCCGCTACTTCTTGGCCAAGCCCGAGATCGGCGAGGAATTCCACGTCGAGCTGGAGCAGGGTAAGGTCCTGATCCTCAAGATGCTGGCTATCGGCCCCCTGTCCGAGCAGACCGGTCAGCGTGAAGTCTTCTACGAGGTCAATGGTGAGGTCCGTCAGGTCACTGTGGACGACAACAAGGCCTCTGTCGACAACACCGCCCGCCCCAAGGCCGATATTGGCGACAGCAGCCAAATCGGCGCTCCCATGAGCGGTGTCGTCGTGGAAATCCGTGTCCACGAGGGTTCGGAGGTCAAGAAGGGTGACCCCGTTGCCGTTCTGAGCGCCATGAAGATGGTGAGTTTGCATCTCTTGCGCAAATGCTACCATATCAAACAAGCTAATGGAATTATAGGAAATGGTTATCTCTGCTCCTCACAGCGGAAAGGTCTCCGGCCTGCTCGTTAAGGAAGGCGATTCCGTGGACGGCCAGGACCTCATCTGTAAGATCGCCAAGGCGTAGAGCTGGAAAAAGGCCTAGAGAGAAATTACGAATGAATGAGGATGTATTGTCTTGTATACAGGCCGCGCACGCGGCTTATTTTCTATGGAGACATGAAAATGGGAATGGCTTTTGATGTCTGCTGTCTGCTTAGAGCGTTTATAGTATCTGGGTTGGGGTTTATTGTCGGTTGTTTCTATATCTGTCAACAAATCTATTTCTGAGCACAATGAACGTGCTATTTCAAATTCCACAAACTCGTCACATGCAGTTGCCCTCTAGAATGCATCTACTCGAAGTGAGCCGGAATATAGACCGTGTCATAATAGTTTGGCAGGGCTGGGTGGTTCATTTCAGACAAAATCAAGTCACAGATGGGACAATATACAGCACATGGATTAACATCCAACGATCCTTGTCGTCTCGTCAGAGTTTCGCAGAAGTAGAGCCCTCGCCGGGCTCCCCCACCTCTCGCAACGCCCTCCAGACCCGCATGGCCTCGTCCCACAGGCCGTCCTCGCAGATCTGGACCGACCCATCGGGCCTGAGAGTCCTCATCTGCCGGTAATCCCCCGTTCCCCAGCCGATATCCGCATCCGCGTCACCCCGGACAAACCTGGTGAGCGGGTCGATGAACGCCTCCCGCACCATGGGCTTCTCCTCCGCTTGCAGCGCCTCCCCGTTGCCCCAGAACCAGAGGTAGTGGTCTGTTGCGTGCGTGACGCCCCACGAGGGCGGGATCGTCCGGTCCGCGCACTTGAGCCGCTTCTCGATGCGGTAGCGGTAGAGTAGATGGCCAGCGTTGCCGGAGGCCAGGGCGTGGACGAGCCCGCGCTGCGTCTTGTGGACCTGCATATCGGCGTAGATCAGGCCGAAGGCGTCGGTGTGCCAGTTTTCGCAGCCGGGGGGAAGCTGGCCGTGCGGACAGTAGATTTTGATTACGGCGTCCGCGATGTGACGGGGGTAGTCGGCTAGGAGACGGCGGTGCAGGGATTGCAGGGTGTTGCTTTGCGGAGGGTGCCAGGTTGCGTAGAGGAATCGTTCGTCGCGGCATTCACCGAGCATGATTCGGATGTTTCGGGCTGCTAGCTTGCGGGCGAAGGTGCCGTTGTCCAAGGACTTGAAGAGAGCTGGGTCTATGAAGGTGCCGTCGCTTGTTGGGCGGAACTGGTGCAGCTCGATGCTGGTTGCTGCATCGAGCAGGGCCTTGGCTGGGATAGAGCGGAGACGGGACAGTTTTTCTTTCCAGGACAGGGACGTGGGGATCTTGAGAGTGGAGAGGAGCTGGTTGAATTGGAGCTGCGCTTCTGCTTGGATTTTGGGCTGGACAGCGGGCGAGTTGGACCAGATGCAAGCTTGTTTTACGACGGATTGTTCTAGAGGGAGCTGTAGGTCGTAGGCCAGCTGATAGAATACTGAGTAGGCTCCTGGTGCACGAGAAATGAGGATAGATATTCGAAAAGATTGGACCGAGACTCACCGGCCGAATAACCAGATATGGTGACCTGCAACGGGTTGCCCCCAAAGAGAGCGATGTTGTCTCTAGTCCACTCTAGCGCTAGACGCTGATCCCAGAAGCCATGATTTCCCACGGTCTCTCCTGCAGAGGCGGCGTCTTGTTCAATCTCGGAAGAGGAAAGGAAACCAAGGACCCCAAGGCGATATGCGGGCATGACTATGACAGCATTGAAGTCCGTCTCACCCAGAAAAGCTGCTGCCGAAAAGCTGTTTGGAGTACCGAACTGGAGAAAGCCGCCGTCTAAAACGCAGAAAGGGTTAATACAATATCCATCAAGGGTATGGTCTGTCCCTTGTAATAGCGTAGAAGACTTACGAATAAAGAAAAAGACCGGCCACCCTGTCCGCTGTTAGCCAACCAGTTCAGGACGGTGTCCAAGAAGGTACATAGGTCTTAGCTGACAGACCTTCCTTGGGAGGTTCTGCTACAGGAACCCACACATTACACTGGAAGCAATCCTCGGTCCATTCATCTCCAAAAGGAAGGTTCATGAACGAAGGTTGCGGACAGACACCTGAACGCCTGTCACTCTGACCGGGCTGATCCCGGGTTCCATAGGCGTAATCCGATGGTAGTCTCTGGGCTCTACGCCATCGCTGAGAGGGAGCTAACCCATAGCGAATGCCACCAAAGAAGCGACAAAGGGGAGTGTTCGTAGCTTTCGATGTAAGGGTGACGCCTTGGACATAGCCTCGGTGGGCGAGAGACTTCACGTACGGATATCGAATGGTTTCCATGTTGATCTGTGACTCTCAACCAGTTTCTGTTACGCCCTGGGTACGTTTTCTTGTCCCAATGGCTCATATTGATAGAATATCTGGCTACGATTATATATAACGAGGCCTATGAGCGGGGGATTTCCCCGGCCTGGCGATGATAAGCCATCTGATAACCGAGGACCTGAGCTAGATGAAGAATACATCCAAGCGAACGAATCTCGAAGCGATATGAGTTGAGATGGATGTGAGTTCGTCGGCAAAAGCAACGGGAGAGCCAACCAGACGAAGTTGACCGTCGTCGCAGCCGACAGCTTTTGCGGGGAAAGTAAATAACATTCCGCGGCGGCGGCGTCAGAACTGGAGACCGATTGCAGCCTGAGGCATCACAAACTGGGTATGCTCCTGATCCAATCGGAGATAAAGCCTTCGACGAATGCTTATCGCGATCAGAAACAGTATCAACTATCAACTGTATCAATCGAGCTCAGTTTGGCATGAGACACGACGGATACTTTATCAGATGGACGTCTATTACATCCGCAATTCCGTTCCCTCCAATACGATTCCATGGATGAATCGATCGAGGTTCCCCCGCATCAAGCAAGAATCTTGACGTCAGCCATCACGAGATCACCTCGACGACGGCCGCAGATATTCTGCTGTCTTTTTACCATACGTACAATCGAGACTCACTTTGCTGAACCGAACATCCCGGAGTCTGATTGGGCATGGATGGTCGTCCCTCAGCGGTGATTCGCCTAGAGCATGTCCATCAGTGCTGCCATCAGCAGACCTGGACGCTTCTGCAAACATGATGAATCATCGTACCAATCTTTGGTTGATCCCAATTGCTGGAAGGATGACCAGCTGCGAGCAACCATAGGATCAATCCGTTTTCTTATTTGCCCAATTAAGCTCCAGGGAAGGCAATTGACAATCACGATACATCATCCCAGCGGAGGTTGTTTCACTGCTTAGGGCAGCTAGGATAGGTAACTTACCCCTCTCGTCTGGAGACGCTTCCCTTGGCTGGGTAGGAGGAGTCGGCTATATATACACCAATCAGTCATGGCATTTCACAAGATGAGCAGCCAAACTTTCATAACAGTTGGTAAGTGAGTGATTTACATCTAGCATCTCCATTTGTCATCTTTATAATCCCCGGAAGGTTGTGCTCTTGATTATTCATTGGGTTTACATCCGACATCCTGAAGCGTCTATTATCTACTATATCTTAGATCACATCTCTCTGATTGATCCTCATCCAAGAACAACTTTGATTCAAATTGCTACTGGAGCGTTGCCTAATTTATCACACCCACTAGGAACCACTATCTTGCCAACAACCTCTCGCAACACTCAGTCAATTCATCCAAAATGAGCGACGGGTCCGAACCCCCAAAACGCCACTGGCATGGAACTGTAGGTGACCGCTACGAACAACCCAGTGTCTGGGTTGTAGGCGGCACTATGCAAACCTCGCCCGGCAGAAGACCCTCTACCGACATGGACGACAGACATGTACGTCTGATAAGTTTCTTAGAAACTACTGTTCAAAGAATTCCTTTCGTCATCAACTGTGTTTGTGTCTTTCGGTGCTAACAACCGAATAGGACTCAACGTCATCCGAGTCGTCCAACACTTCTGCCCAAGGAGCAAGCCCTCCACGCACTAGGAGCGGGGAGCGGAGACGGTCAAGTCTCTTTGAAAGCTTGAACAGCACGAAGCGGAATGCCACTGATCCTAACGCGGCTGCTCGTCGGCAGAGTTGGTTGGAGCAGTCTGAGCAGGGTGGCATCCTCTCGAAGCTCTGGAATACGTACACCAGGGGCCGTTGATTGAGTTGATATGGCTGTGAAGGAAAGAAAGGGAAATTGAATTGGCTTGTACATGTTAATGCAATGCATGAGCCGTGTTAATATCACCATCAGAATGAATATTCACAGTGTTCATGATGCTTTCCCTACGGCATAATTGCGCTGCTGGTTTTTAGGAAAGGCTGAGTCAATGTTATGGGTTCCTGAATAGCAGTGCCTGTTGCCGTATGTCCTATACCTAGCGTACACCATCTTCAGCTTGCGCTGGGTAACCGCTGTGTGCAATTGGCGTTCCCATGATCAGGATGTTGTTGTATACCCAGTCAATCTGGAGTTGCCGCAAAGTGAGGTGACATTGATGAGTTGGCGCGAAATGCTACGGCCCGTACGAGAGTCTACACGGTGCAAGAACACCCTACGATGGACGGCCTACGCCAGTGCTAGAAGGGTGTCCGTTCTGATACCAGACTGGCATCAGAAAAGGGTTGGGTGACCCAAGTCCTACGACTTCAACCCTGGACTGCCCACATAAATGACACAACCGAGAGTGTTCCTTGACGGAAAGCACTCGGATGAAAGCCATCGACCCCACGGCCAAGAACATCCCATGAGCAGTCCATGGACTCATGGGAGCATCATGCAAAACTTTTCAACAATGGTTATGCGGAAAACATCACCCTTTGTGAAGCCTTCATTGTGAAAAGTGGATGCGTTTTTGAATTGTGGATTGATATTCCTAGCACGCCTATCCATATGCCGTGGTAGAAAGAAGCATTTCAGAGCAGAGCGGCAATGTAGAGAAACGCCCGCCTTTTTTATCGATTCATCATAAAACACACAACCCCAAAGAGGCCCCTCCGCAGACCGTTGGACGGAATATTTACCGGACAATGCCGTCGAAGCGGTTCTTGAACCACTTGATGGTCTCAGCCTGGTTGATCTTGTGGTTGGTACCAATGCGAGACTTGCAGCGGCGGCGCTTGGCAACACGCTCACCAGGGCGAGTCCTAAAAAAGACACAATTGTCAGCCATGGACTTGACTGGCAGTCCAGGGGAAGCCAAAAATAGAACCGAGGGCCACTCACATGCAGCAGTAGAAGTCCATACCGTAGATACCAATACCAGGGTCGTACTTGATACCGAGATCGATGTGCTCGCTGATACCGAAGCCGAAGTTGCCGGTCTCGGAGAAGTTCTTCTTTCTCAGCTCGTATTCCTTGACCTTGAGGCCACGCTCGAGGATCTCCTCGGCCTTGGGGCCACGGACGGTAACGTGGACGGCAATCTTTTCGTTACGACGGATACCGAAGGTACGGACAGTGTAGCGGGCCTTGCCTATAGTTGGAAAAAAGAGTTGTCCCATCAGCCGTACTGTTCCCATGATTCTTGATTTTTCTTCTTGCTCCTTCATCTTCCTCCTCTTCGTCGTCCCAACCTCATCGACAAAAAAAGGATTCAAAATCGAACTCGGGCGTCCTTACTGTAGACTGGAGTCTGACCGCTCAGCTGCTCGAGCACCTTAGCAGCACGGGTAAGTCTGTCACCAGACTCGCCGACACTGATGTTGAGCACGAGCTTCTGGATGCGCAGCTCGCGCATGGGGTTTGCGCTCTTGTCCTTTCCGTCCGACTGCATAGCGATAAATTGTTAGAAAAAAGAGTTGTCCTTCTTCTTCGATTGTAGTGGGCTTTGCAGAGAAAACTGGCAACATACCATGGCGACTGCTTTTGGCGTTAGATTGGTCGACTCGTTGAGTGGAAGAATCGAAGGTTCGAAAAGTGTGCAAAAGTGTATGTGTGGGTTGGTGTGGGAAGCGAGAGCCCTTAGCGTCTTGGCATGGTCGTTTGGCGCTAAGCGCAGAGCCGCGTCTCGATCACGACTCCGACTCCCGTGCCAGCGGAATGATAGAGTCGGAGCGCCTGCTTTAGCTGGATTCTCCATTACCTATCTACGGGCGCATAAGCTCAAAAAAGTGAATGATCAAGTAGAGGAGCCCATCTTCTACTGTCTCACTACATTCTTTGGTTTTATTCCCAAGTCGCATTCGTGCGCATTGCCCAGCCAACATGGCCGCCAACAAGCAGGGCAAGATGGTAAGTTTTCGTCATGCTGTTCCCTTGGTTGTCTCTCTTGTCGAAGATGATGTTTCTGCGGTCTTTCATAGCTGACACTGCGTTCGCTTGCAGCAAAACCTCGTAAGTCATTGATTCGATGACTTTTTAGAGCTCGCCATCCCGCCAATTCTAACATTCGTGCAGATCAACTATCGGATGAGGATTACCCTGACCGACGGCCGACAGATGACGGGACAAATGCTCGCATTCGATAAGGTGAATTCTACCAGGTGCTTTTCGACCCATATACATGTAGCTAATGACAACTTTTTCTGACTTATAGCACATGAACCTCGTACTCGCAGACACAGAAGAATTCCGCCGCGTCAAGCGGAAGTCCAAGCCGGCTGCTGGACCGTCGAATGCTCCCCTTGTCGAAGCGGAAGAGAAGCGGACTCTCGGTCTCACAATCGTGCGCGGTACTCACGTCGTTTCCTGCTCCGTTGATGGCCCACCTCCCGCCGAACCATCCGCGCGACTTGGAACAGGTGCGCCTGGCGCTGCAGCTGCAGCTGCCACTCTTGCTGCTGGCCCAGGAATAAGCAAGCCCGCTGGACGAGGTCTTCCTGTCGGCCTTGGAGGCCCTGTTGCTGGCGTTGGAGGACCACCACCGCCCCCTGGCGGCTTCGGTGGTTTCCCACCGGGTGGTTTTCCTGGAGCACCTCCTCCGGGATTTGCTGGCCGTGGAGGACCCCCTGGAGGACCTCGTGAGTTCCTTCCTTTTAAAGAGTTTTCCCTTCGAAATGCGAAACTAACCATCTGTACCTAGCTGGCTTCGGTCCCCCACCTGGATTTGCTCCTCAAGGTGGTCCTCGTAAGTTTTCAATGTTCAATGTGGTTAACTCTTTGCTAACCGGGCTTGATGCAGCCGGTGCCTTCCAGCCTCCACCAGGCTTTCAACCTCCCGGTCAGGGCCGGGGTTTCCCTCCTCCAGGCTTTGGTGGTAGATGATTAATTGACTTCCGGAACGGCACGATGGCATACAATATCCCGGCCGTCAATTGAGCACGGCAAAAATTCTGAAGCTAGGAAAAGGAAAAAAGGACTCGCCATGATTTCAAGTCTATCCGACAAATAGATACAGCACACATCTCTATCAGGCAAACGGCGTTGCGGCGTGTGCGGATGCTGGAAATGTCCCTACGAAGAGAATCAACTCTAGGAAGTTGGTCTAGGATCGATAAGCAGTAATGCTAAATATGTCTAAAGTACCGATACACTAGTCAATTCATAATATGTCTTCTGAAAAGTTTTAAAGCTCTTCATATCGCTTGAAGCTCGTACTCGTATCAAGTAAGGTCTCACGTGACATTACCGGTTAACTCCGCGCTGTGATTCCGTGGTCGGGGAACAGTAACAAAACGTGCCTGGTTAGTGAGTCTGGATACTTGTCTTTGGACCCTTACCCTTGCTTCATCGAATAATTGTTCAACATGGCCGCTGCAATCAAGGCGATCAATGCTAAGATCCGTTCCAACAAGGTTCTGGATTATGTCTGCTCAACACGTACGTACAATGCCTCACCTTGTCGCTCTCGCCCGAGATCGGCCTGCCATGAATGGCGGCGACGGTACTCGTGAAAGCGMAATCAGGTTTCCGATGGCTTTCATAACTGATCTCGGGATGCTGTTCTGTTCTGACCGGATAATGTGCATGAGAAACGCTGACGAGGTTTTGCCAATTCAGACTTCTGGGGCCCTGCCTCGAACTTTGGTATCCCCATTGCAGCTGTGATGGACACTCAAAAGGACCCTGAAATGTACGTCGTCGTCGCACCCCGTTCTGAGCTTCACGATATGGTTCAATGGCCCCCCTATCTCGAACTGGACTGCTCTTATGCCGCCCTGAACCTCCCATCTACTTTGCACCTCCTGCGCGGATACGAGTCGACTCACTCAACTAATACTCGAACAGTATCTCCGGACAGATGACTGCTGCGCTCACAGTCTACTCCGCAACCTTCATGCGTTACGCCCTCGCTGTCTCTCCCAAGAACTACCTCCTCTTTGCCTGCCATTTCATCAACTGCTCCGCTCAGATGACTCAAGGATACCGGTACCTGAGCTACTGGAAGTATGTCCTCTACCCGCCGTCCTCAAACCTGTTCCCCTTGTGCCTTCATCTTCTCTCAACACGATTACCCAAAGTGTAACTGACAGCTCTTCTCAAATCTAGCTGGGGAGGCCGGGAAGCCAAGCTCGCAGAGGCCGCCAAGAAGGGCAAGGAAGTCACCGAAGCCGGCGCATAAACGATGTGATTCTCCCGATTTAGTCGCGTGTTTCTTGGTTGCTCCCGGGTGGATGCCATCCCTATATAATCTCCCTCTTTCTCAGCAGTACTTAGACCTACTCCGGACAAATGCAAAAGTGGATTTTGAGTGTCGACTCGTTCGAGGATTACCCGACGGCTTCTATCCCAGCGGAGAATAGCTTTGTCGGCTCTGATCAACTGTGCTACGTGGATGAGATGGCCAGGTACTCCTGGAGGCTGTACATAGTGTTTCTTGCAGAAATGAATGCTTTGCACTGCCAGTACTTGGCTGTTTTTGGATAGTCTCGGCCGTGTGACTCGCTGAGAGCTTGAACCCGGGAGACTTATAGCAGTGCTCGTTGCATCTGAATCTGAGCACATCAATTGGTCTAATATCTCGCTTGTTACTAGCAATATATACGCAAGGCTGCTAGACTCTAGTGACGTAATGATCTAACTGTTGACACATGGCAGAAGTGCATATGCAGGCTTGCTCGAACATGACCAAGGAGTATAATGACAGAAGAATGATATGAATCGCTTGCTCTCTAATCGAAGTGCCAAATAGCATTGGATCGTCGTCTCATACTGCATAGGTCGAGTCCACCAAAAGACAGTCGTGATAGAAATTTGTATCGATGTGCGAATCATGAATCGCAGTATCCTGGAGGCTTGGTGTTGTCAGAGTTCACCCAGTTGTCGAGTGTCAATGAAGTCGTATATATGCAGGAAATGACTCCAAAGCAGGAAAGAGCGATATCGGCGATCTGCTGGCGCCTGGACTGCGCACAAGCTTTGAGATGAAGGAGTGGCTGTTGGACCAAGAGTCAGTAACTTCAGAAAAAACTTCTGGAGATCCAGTTGCTGGAGACGTACCGGGTATACGTAGATCAGCGGAACACAGGCGAAGCTGCCGACGAGTGAGACAAATTTGTCAAGGTCATCCGCTCCGCCCCAGGCAACAAACGCGCAAATCATGACCAGAAAGAAGCGGAAGCAGTTTTTCTTCCACTTGATCCCGGGGTTATACTTGCCACTACGAGTGAAAAGTTCATTTTCCATGATTCGAATGGCCGGGAAGAGTTGCAGAGGCGTGCTCAGCAGGATTGCCAGAGAATAGAGAAATTGGACCGCATTCACGAATTTATCATCCTGAGGAAGATTGAGAATGACAACGGTTTGCGTCGCGGAGCCATAGGCAGCATAGCTGAGAGCACCAGCAGAGAGGAAGACAATTGTAATGAGGACCATGACACCGGCAAGGACGCTGGGGAACCGACGAGGTTCCTTCATTGACTCCTGAATGGGGATAATCAAACCAATCCCTTCGTACGTGAAAATGGCAGTGCCAATGAAAAGAGTCCATGTGGATGGGTTGAATGCTTTGACATCCGAAATGCCACCTTGCGAAACGATAGTGGCAACGTCGTAGTAATAGAGATAGATGAGTCCCAGTAGAATAAACACATCTGCCACAAGTGCGGTAAAACCCAACTTGCCAATGTCACGAATTAGCGAAAGAGGCAGGAATATGACCAATTGCATCAGCACCATGAACTTGATGTCGATGAACGACTTGCATTTGCTGACAGCCAGAACGAACGCCTGGAGGTTCTCAGCAGTGAAGACAATGTATGCGGAGACAAATCCCAGTTGACTGAGAACAATAGACCCGAGGATGATCCGGCGCATATGTTTTCCAAAGAGAGCACCACCAATGTCACCGAAGGAGCCTTCGATCTTCAAGCGGGTGTTGACCAGCAGGATGAAGCAGTAGAAGCTGAGTATGGATACAGCAAGCAAAACCAAACTGCTGAATAACATCCCACCATTCAGGAAAGCCCTTGGCAAGAACAGAACACCCGTGCCAACAAATGATTTGAGCAAAAGGAGAGCTGCTCCTGTCGTTGTGTTGGTTCCCGTTCCACCGCGCGGTTTTGGTTTACGCTTCCTTCGGCCAGGAGTTTCCGGTCGGAGCAAAGCGGACTCCTCGCCTGGTTCTCTGCCTTCTGCTTCGTCCCATGGTTCTGAGGAGAAATACTCATCAGGCCCCAGAACCTCGTCGTCCTCTTCCAGCTCTTCTCCCGCGAAGTGACCGTACAGGGTGAGAAACTCCAGGAAGCTGCTGGTATGGAGCTGATGATGAGTCGCTGGCGCCTTTGCGCGGCCGTCAGTACTTCCAGGATGAGGGCTACCGGCAGTCCTTCGTATGAAGTCTCTTCTGAAACCTCCTGGGACCCGTATGGTATTGATATCCATGGTTTCCTCCTCCGGCGTAGGTCTACTGAGACTGAAACTCTTACTTCGCAGATGTTTTCGTACCGAATTCCCGGCTTCGGCATCCTCAGCCCACCTATAGACCTGTCTTGTAATATCTCCTCCCTGCAATTGCAAGCTAGAGAATTCATCATCGGCGTTGCTTGCGAGGTCCCTAAAGTTATTGGATTCGATAACGTTCTGCGGTTGCACGAGGTGTCTCTTCACAACCTCAGGATCCTCAAATGGCGCATTTGAATATATGGAGCCTTCCCTTCCTATTTTATTGTCAAATGAGCCATAATTTGACCTCACCGGCTGATTCAGTAAGGCAGGAGAGTCGGTTCGTCTTGGTGGAGTTCCAAGTCTCGGGGGTGAGCGACCAAGACTCTCCTGAAGCGCAGATGCAATCATGGACTGTCCTGGGCCGGGTAGTGAGGCTGGATTATCCACCCGGCCGAGGTCCTGTCCGTTACCTGTCGTAGACTGGTTTGGTATAGGCACTTGTCTGGACGAATATGAGGTTGAAAGGGAAGGAACTGGCGAAGCTAGTCGTGCAATAGAGGCATGTCTTGACCCGATGTCTGCTGAAGGAGATTCCGAACGCTTAGCCGGAGTTGACATAGGAGTCGAGCGATCCGGTTGATATGATGGTCCCTCCCCGTTGTCTGTTCTCCCCGATGACGCCATTTCGCAACGGACTAGACAAGCAGTAGCCGACAAGATAAGAAGTTGAGAGATACAATGCTCCCTGCACAACTCAATACAAGGCTTCGCCCAACTTGGTGAGTGTTCACAAGCAGTGAGGCAGCGCAAGGCAGCGCAGAAGCGGCAACGCGACTTGGGCGTAGAATAAGAGTATATTCCGCAGTGGTTGTATTTTCCACTGGCTGTAACTCCCACTGAAGCGATGCCTTGTTTGTATAAAAATATCCTTATCGTTATATCAATGAAGATTGGTAGTGTCCATCCTTCGTTCTCCTCATGTATAGATGAGTATAACAACAGCTAACGGAAGATGATGCACGGGACTGTGCTTGGTGACTAACGAGGAATTTGCACTGTTTGTCTCTGTGTCTGGGTGAGGTCATTGCCGATCTTCCAAGCATTTGCGGCTTGCAGCGATGCCAAGTCAATTGCGGCATTCTGAGCTCGATTTTGCCGGATTTTCGAGTCTTTGAACACACCAATGCTTTTAATCAAGTATAATGCTTTATGATAAAAACATGTCGCCTTTCCATCTCCGCTAAAGGCTTCCTTGTCGATACACTCTTCCGTTGTGATCTCGGCTGCGACCAGTGTGCTATTGAAGGGGTGGGGACCCCACTGCGATAAGGTGTAGGATTGTGTCTTTTGATGAACAACGGACCGAACAAAAGCAAATCGGGGCCGATGTCGAGGCGAAGGCCGAACTTTTCCACACGAACCGCTGAAGAAGATGTTTC